CCGCACATTTTCCCGCCACGCCGTTTCCCACCGTTCAGTTTCCCACCCCGCGGTTTCCCACCGCATATTTTCCCACCCCGCGGATTCCCACCGCATATTTTCCCACCCCGCGGATTCCCACCGCATATTTTCCCACCCCGCGGTTTCCCACCGCACATTTTCCCGCCCCGCCGTTTCCCACCGCTCAGTTTCCCACCCCGCGGTTTCCCACCGCACATTTTCCAGCCCCACTTTCCCACCGCACATTTTCCCGCCCGGCGGTTTCGAGCCCTGCAGTTTCCCACCGAAGTTTCCCGCCCCGCAGATTCCCACCGCACATTTTCCAGACCTGCAGATTCCCACCACACATTTTGCCGCCCTGCGGTTTCCCACCGCACGATTTCCCACCCCACCGTTTCCCACCGCGGTTTCCCGCCACACAGTTTCCCGCCCCGCGGTTTCCCGGTTTCCCGCGGCGCCTTCACACCCCCACCGGCTGCGCTGGGGCTCAACATCCCGCCCTGGCCTCTCGGCGCTCCCGCTGGCGGGACAGCAGCCGTCCTCCCGGGCGAGCTGCTCGGGGCCTGTGCGAGGGCCTTCCCTTCCCGGGTGGCTCCTCCTCCAGGGAGCTGTCCTGGGGAGACCGCGCAGGGTCCCCGCCAGGGAGCTGTCCTGGGGAGGCCGCGCAGGGTCCCCGCCAGGGAGCTGTCCTGGGGAGGCCGCGCAGGGTCCCCGCCAGGGAGCTGTCCTGGGGAGGCCGCGCAGGGTCCCCGCCAGGGAGCTGTCCTGGGGAGACCAGGCAGGGTCCCCGGCCAGGGAGCTGTCCTGGGGAGGCCGCGCAGGGTCCCCGCCAGGGAGCTGTCCTGGGGAGGCCGCGCAGGGTCCCCGCCAGGGAGCTGTCCTGGGGAGGCCGCGCAGGGTCCCCGCCAGGGAGCTGTCCTGGGGAGACCAGGCAGGGTCCCCGCCAGGGAGCTGTCCTGGGAAGACAGGGCTGGGGGACGGGCTTGGCGGCCAGCAGGGCTTGCAGACCTGCAGCCACGGGGCGGCCAAAGCCAGGCGCCTGGCAGTCTGCACCGGGGCCCTTCCCGGGGACGTTCTCAGGCAACGCAGCTTCTGTCAAGGATGCTGGCCGCGAGCACACAGGACGGCATCCCAGACACACGGCCATCGGGCAGAGAGGGGCTGGGACAGAGCGTCCCGCCCAGCTGGCCGTGGCAGAAGAGGGTGCTGTGGGCACAGGTCGTCACCGGGGGGTGGGAGGACATGTGGCCCCCTCAGACCCCAGGGGCAGCTGCTCCTTTTCCCCAGCCCGTGTGGGACGAGCAGCACTGACCGCCAGTGAGCACACTCAGGCCTCGGTTTCCCCTGGAACTTGGACCTCAAAATGGAGAGGAGCCCAGAGACCTCCCAGAGCCTTCGAGGGGTTCTGCTCTCTGGGCTGGGGTCCCTGGACATGCAGCCTCCTCCTGAGACCCCTCAAGGCACACAGACCCACCCCCCGCCCCGGTGCCAGCCGAGCACAGCCCCGAGCTGAGCAGGTGCCCCAGGGCTGCCCCCCGCCGGGCCGGGCTGAGGTCTCCTCTCCCCCAGCCCACTGCCCCCGCCAGCCGCCCCTGGAAGCCTGGCAGGCTGAGGGTGGGTGAGGCAGGCTCAGGACCACGTCCCTGCGGCCGGAGAGGTCAGGGCCAGCCCCGGGGGATAGCCCTCCCCCTTCCCGCCGACCACGGTCAGAGCTGCGGGGGGTGGGGGCGCCCTGCGCCTTGGGGTGCAGAGCTGCAAATCCTTCCTCCTCCGGGCCTCTTCCCTGCCACGGCCCCTCCCCGAGAGCAAACACACGCAGAGGCTCTGGGGAGAGACGGGTGCCCTGCGTGGCCCGGGAGCCAGGCGCCGGGCCAAGGCCGCCTGCTACATAAGCCTGAGGTCCCCCGGGGAGCAGGCACCCGGCCACTCTCCTCGCCGCCCGCCGAGCCGGCCTCCGCCATGGGCACCAGGGGCGCGTGCTGGGCGCTGCCGTGGGCCCTCACGGCCCTGCTCGTGGCACGGCAGGCAGGTAAGGCTCCCCCCGCCGGCCCACCCGTGGCAGGGCGGCCTGGGCACCGCATCCCGGACACCGAGGCCCTCGACCTCAGCCCAAGTCCGTCCGCTTGGGGTGACGGAGAGTCAGCGGACAAGGAGGCCGGTGGGAGATGAAGAGAGGGAGGCCCCGCACAGGCCGGGGGGCCTCACCGGGCCCCTGGGGGTGGGACTGGAGTGGGGGGGTCTCCCATGCTGGGGTTTCCCTGGCTGGGTACCAGGGTGAGCAGGGCTTTGCCCTGGGTCACTCCACCGTTGCCTGGGGTGACAGCCGACAGGGCAGCCCCTACCTGGAGGTTCCCCAGCCCTCAGGGTCGAAAGCAGGGCGTCGCGTGGGAATAAGAAACAAGACAGTTGGCTGGGCACGGTAGCTCACGCCTGTCATCCCAGCACTCTGGGAGGCCAAGGAGGGAGGATCACTCGAGGTCAGGAGTTTGAGACCTGCCTGAGCAAGAGCGAGACCCCGTCTCTACTATAAATAGAAAGAAATTAATTGGCCAACTAAAAATACGTAGAAAAAATTAGCCGGGCATGGTGGCGCATGCCTGTAGTCCCAGCTACTTGGGAGGCTGAGGCAGGAGGATCGCTTGAGCCCAGGAGTTGGAGGTTGCTGTGAGCTAGGCTGATGCCACGACACTCTAGCCTGGGCAACAGAGTGAGACTTTGCCTCAAAAAAAAAGCAAGCAAGAAAGAAAAGACACAAGACAGCAGAGGAGAAAGAATGGGGTCAGGGGACTCAATGCTTTCCAGACCCAGGGTCCTGGCAGTAATTCCTTGCCTGTATCTATTCATTCTAAGACCACAGGATCACCCTAAATCATATGAGCAATCAATGCTCTATAGATGCCCCACAGGCAAACAAGCTCTAAAGATCCCCCAAAAGATTACAGTAACAGGCATGCGTCACCCAGGTAAGCTTTAAAGATCGCTGACAAAGAGTAAACTATCCAGGTGCCCGTTAACCTCAGCGAAGTCATTTCTAGACTAAAACAAAACAGGAACGTAAATTTGGGATTGCGGCCAGGCCAGTTTTACAGCAGGTTGGACGTTCCCGATTGTGGTCCCGGGGCAGTTTTCCGCCCCCCGGAGAGAAACTGTTTCCAGTTCCTCCTGCCCTTGGAGCGTCCTCGCCGTTTGGAAAGCAGCCACACAGAGGTGCCTACGCCAGCAATCTCCCCAGCAAGCCCCCGTGGGGTGGGGGGCCTTCAGGTGACAGGGCTGGGGCCACAGGGGCCAGGCGAGGGGCCCACGGCCACACGTCTGCAGCGGGGCCACGGCCGGGCAGCCGCAGGCCACACCCACCGCAGCTTTCGTGGCCAGCGGTTTCCCTGGCCCGTCGCCTCTCTCGGGAAGAGCAAGTGCTAACACTTACTGTCAGCGCTAATACTTACTGTCAACAGAGAAAGCCGTGGCCCCAGGGGCCGCCAGCCGACACCTGGAAGTGTCCCTGCCCCACGCCTGCTCCTGCCCCGAGCTTCCTTCTGGGGTGTGGGCAGGGCTGGGGCGGGGAGGGTCCCCCTGCTGCGGATTTGGGACGCTGTTCTCCCTGGACGGCCGTGTCCCCACCTGGGGAAACCAGGCGTGGCCAGGGCTCCGTGAACCTCTTTGGGGGTGGGCAACGGGTGGCCGTCGGCCCCACCTGGTCCTCACCTGCCGAGCCCTCGGGCAGGAGGATGCTGCTGCCACCGAGAGACACAGACTGTGGCCAGCAGGGGGGAGGCCGGGCCCCACAGAGGGTCTTAGTTTGCATCTAGGGGGGCTCGCTTGGCTGCACGTCGGGGCCGTGCCCCGGCCATGGTGTGACGGGCGGGCGGCAGTGGGCGTTTCTCTGGCCAAGTGATGGAGCCGAAATTGCCGGCCCAAAGAGGCCCCTGCACCCAGCGGAGACTGAGGAATGGCAGCGGGCGGAGGGGCTTTGGGGCAGTGGGCGGTGGCCGCCAGGCAGAGAGGCCGGGTGCAGATGCCCTTCCCAGGGCCCTCAGCCTGGGGTCTCAGCCGCCACCCAGCACTCACCCACCCACCACCGACACCCCGCGGCTGGCTGCCTGACGGCTCTGGTTTTAGGTTTCTGCACAGTCACGCCTGGATGCCTCCCCAACAAAGCTGGTCTTTGTCCCTCTCCGAGGGACGGGTGGACAGGCCGAGCCCCCTCCTGCAGGCGGCCACCGAGATGGCCGACGCCCTTTCCCAGTTCTGTTTCCTCCCCCTGCTCGGGGGAGCAGGCGCCAGCCCCCCTCGTCCGCAGAGGCGGCAGGGCCGGTCGCCAGAGCTGGGGTCACTCAGCCCAGTCCCGTCCCGGCTCCCGGTCAGGCCCGGGAGGGGCCACGGTTTCGGGCAGAGCAAGCTTCTGCCCCACCAACCCTTCGGGGCACAGAGACCGCGAACAAGGCCGCGTGGGTGGCGTGGCCGGAGCGTGGCTTCTCACCGACTCCCACCCCTTCTCCCGCAGAGACCCAGACCCCTGCGGAGCCGAGCGTGGGGAGCACAGGGCCCCCCGCGGACAGTCGCAGGGCGGACGGCGGTACGCAGCCCGGGCCCGGGCGGGGGCTCCTGCCCAGGCGGAAGGGGCCGGGCACCGAGTGGGCTGGGGGATTCCACGTGGCCACGCGCCACTCAGAGCCCCAGGTCCCCGTGGGGCAGTGTGGGCGGCAAGGGGACAGGGTGTCTAAATGAGATGAAGGAGCACAGTAGAGAGGCTCACACGCATGCACACACGTGTGCACACGCAGATGGAAAGCCCCAGGGCAGGAGGGTCCAGGGTGACAAGCAGGGACAGGACGGCCCAGCCCCAGGCCAGCTCCTTAGTCCTGGGCTCCCCGTCGCCCCGGGGTGGCCGGCGAGGGTGGGGCCAGGGCAGGCGTCCCCAGTGACCTGGACCTTGCCCACAGCCCGCCCCACATCCTCACCGGCCTGGCACATGAGCTTCGTCACCCCCGTCACCGTCCTCCCCAGCAGCTGTGAGTGACACCGGCCCTGCCCGCCGGGAGGGGTGGGGGCCCGAAGTGGGGTGAAGCTGGCACCATGGGGGGCCAGCTGGGGGGCAGTGAGCCTTCTCCACGGGCAGTTCTGGGGGCCGAGCACCAGTGCAGGGCAGGGGCGGGGGTCCCGGGTCTCGGGGGCATCGCGCAGCCAGGCAGGTGCAGCCGGCAGGTGCAGCCACACAGGTGCAGCCAGCAGGTGCAGCCAGGCAGGTGCAGCCGGCAGGTGCAGCCGGCAGGTGCAGTCAGGCAGGTGCAGCCAGGCAGGTGCAGTGGCCGGTCGCTGCTGGCTTCCTCGTGCCAAGAACAGGGCGCCCTGGCCTGGTGGGTGGCTGGGCGTGGGGCGGGCTGGGCGTGGGGCAGGCGTGGACGTCGGCAGGGGCCCCTTCACGCCCTCCCCGCAGCCCTGAACCTGGCACACAACGGCCGGGTCTGCAGCGCCTGGGGCGACTTCCACTACAAGACCTTCGACGGCGCCGTCTTCCGCTTCCCCGGCCTCTGCAACTACGTGTTCTCCGCGCACTGCGGCGCCTCCTACGAGGACTTCAACGTCCAGCTGCGCCGAGGCCTGGCGGGCTCCAAGCCCACCGTCACCCACATCGTGCTCAAGGCGCCGGGGCTGGTGCTGGAGATGTCCAACGGCTCCATCCTCGTGGACGGGCAGCGGTGAGCGCGGGGCCTGCAGGGCCCACTCCTCCCCACGCCGGGGCCGGGCTGGGGTCGGGCCAGAGGTGGCAGGGGGGCTCTGGGCCCTGCCCGATGGCCGGGCCCGGGGAGAACCAGGACTTCCCGCCCAGGGAGGAGCTGCCCTACAGCCGCGCCGGGCTCCTGGTGGAGCGCAGCAGCGAGTACGTCAAGGTGGGCGTCCGGCTGGTGCTGACCTTGCTGTGGGACGGAGAAGACAGCGTCCTGGTGAGGGGGGCCCCGGTCCCCAGACTCTCCCGCCTGTCCGGAGGGGGCCCGGGTGGTTGGGGGCCGGCGGGGGCCGCGGGTCCTGGAGGGCAGAGGCTCCGAGGCTGCAGCTGCCCCTCTCCTGCCCCCAGCTGGAGCTGGACCCCAAGTACGCGAACCAGACCTGTGGCCTGTGCGGGGACTTCAACGGCCTCCCAGCCTTCAACGAGTTCTACGCCCACAGTGAGTGTGCCCGTCCCCCCGAGGCCGGAGGGTGTCGAGGTCCCCTCGGCCTCCACGCCCCAGAGCTCACACGGTGCCAGCCACGCGGGCGCTTCTCTCCCCAGACGCCAGGCTGAGCCCCCTGCAGTTCGGGAACCTGCAGAAGCTGGACGGGCCCACGGAGCAGTGCCCGGACGCCCAGCCCAAGCCGGCCAGCAACTGCACAGATGAGGTGAGTGCCCCTGTCCCCAGACACGGGCACGGTCGGGCTGAGGTCGGAGCACGTCCTGGGGGCCCGGACAAGACAGGGCCCGGGCCAGGCCGAGGGTGGGAGCCCAGGATAGGAAACCTCCCCCGTAGGCTGGGCGGGGAGGACCCACCTGCGGACGTGGCCTGGAAGACCTGGGATCCCCAGAGCGGCGGGGCCCTGGGCAGGGAGGACGTTCGCCAGGGGGCACCACTGAGCCCGCGGGCCACCTGCCATGCCCCTTCTCTGATCCGCCCCCTGGGACGGGTCTGCACCTATCCGGGGCTCACTCTGGTCAGGCGGGTCCTGGCAGCCTGGGCTGGCACAGCCCAGGGTCGAGGTGCACCCAGAGCTAAGGCAGCCGCGCCCACGGCCGGCCCCAGGTGCACCGTGTTGGGGAGAAGCGGGCGGGGCAGACGGGGGCTGCAGGGGTGGGAGGAGCTTGTGGGCAGGAAGGGGTCCGTCCACACGCACATGGCGGCTCCCCTGCTGTACCACCAGGAGGGCGTCTGCCGCCGCACCCTGCTGGGGCCAGCCTTCGCGGAGTGCAACGCGCTGGTGGACGCCTCTGCGTACCTGGCTGCCTGCGCCCACGACCTGTGCCGCTGCCCCACCTGCCCGTGCGCCACCTTCGCCGAGTACTCCCGCCAGTGTGCCCACGCAGGGGGCCACCCGCAGAACTGGAGGGGTCCCGACCTCTGCCGTGAGTGTGCCGGCCAGGGCCAGGGCCGTGCTGGGGAGACAGGGCAGGGGCTGCACCTGAGGGGCCAGAGGGTGGACGGGCAGGAGACACAGCCCCGTCCCCTCGCCTTGCGCCTCACCTCTCCCAGACAGCCAGGGGCTGGGGCCACCCAAGACCGGGGCGTCCGGGCTGCTCCTGGGCCCGGCCTAGTGTCGGGAGGCCCTGGTGGCAGGTGGAGGGTGGGGTGCAGCCGGCTCCAGCTGGCCAGCACGGGGCCCTGCCCTGGGCCGTGGGGAGCAGGGCTGCGGTCTGGCCACCCCTGGGCCCAGCCCTGCCTCCCGCCACCGCAGCCCGGACCTGCCCCCTCAACATGGAGCACGAGGAGTGCGGCTCGCCCTGCGTGGACACCTGCTCCAACCCCCAGCGCTCGCAGCTCTGCGAGGACCACTGCGTGGACAGCTGCTTCTGCCCCCCAGGCAGGTGCCACCTCCCAGCACCACGGCCCCAGCTGGCGGCCCAGACGCACAGCTACACTCGGGGGTCCCCGGAGCCCAGGCAGGGGGACACTGGCCGCCGATCAGCAGAGGCAGGGGGACCAGCTGTCAGGAGTCCTGGGGCCCAGGAGGGAAACCAAGGCACAGGGGCATGGGGGGGTCTCCCCACAGCAGAGGGTCTCAGGGCAGAGGCAGTGGCCTGGTTTGGGGCCCACTTTACAGGAGGCAGCTTGTCCCCCAGGCTGGGTCTCCTCGGGGTACCTCCTGTGCCTCAATTTCCCCACTTGCGCTCACCCCCTCCCCCAGGCACCGTGCTGGACGACGTCACACACTCGGGCTGCCTGCCCCTGGAGCAGTGCCCCTGCACCCACGGCGGCCGCACCTACGCCCCGGGGGGCTCCTTCACCACCAGCTGCAGCTCCTGGTAGGCCGCGCAGTCCCCGCGGGTGGGGCGCGCCGGGTGGCCCAGCTCCCTGACTGCCCTCTGCTCCTGCCCCAGCTCCTGCTCCGGGGGGCTGTGGCAGTGCCAGTCCCTGCCGTGCCCCGGCACCTGCTCCGTGCAGGGCGGTGCCCACATCTCCACCTATGACGAGAAGCTCTACGACCTGCACGGCGACTGCAGCTACGTGCTGTCCAAGGTGCGCCCCCCCCCGCATGCCCCCCCCACAGGTGCCCCGCCCCTGACACGCCCCCTCGCGAGGGACACGCCCTCACGCGCAAGAGAAGCCCTAGGCTCACACTCACCAGCTGCTCGAGGCCGAGGGGTCCCAGGCCTTGGGACAGGCTGCAGGGGGGTGGGGTGGGGGGTGTGACCAGAGGTGCCGGAGGCCACTCCCCCCAGAGCCGCGCCCCACGCCCTCACCCGGTCTGCCCCTCAGACGTGCGCGGACAACACCTTCACCGTGCTGGCCGAGCTGCGGCAGTGCGGCCTGACCGACAATGAGAACTGCCTGCGCGCGGTGACGCTGCACCTGGACGGCGGGGACACGGTGAGGGGCCCCCGGGCGGGGCGGGGCAGAGGTGTGAGAGCCGGGAGACCGAGGCCTCGGCGCCTGCGCAAACCCCACAAGCCAGGACCCGAGCGGCGGTTCTAGAACCCACTCAGGCTCTGTTCCCCGCGGGTGACTCCGGGTGACCCCGTCTGAGTCAGGGCAGGGGGGGGTTCCGGCCGCCGCTGACCCTGCCCCCCCCATCAGGTCATCCGGATCCAGGCGGACGGCGGAGTGTTCATGAACTCCATCTACACGCAGCTGCCCGTGTCGGCAGGTACGCGGCTGCCCCGGGCAGCTGGGCCAGCGCCGGCGTCTCCAGGGCGGGCTCGGCCCCCAGAGCCTGGCAGTGCCCCCCTCGGACCCTGGCCTCGGGCAGTTCCGGAACAGCCCACGGTCGGCGTCTCAGCTGCAGAGTGGGGGTGACAAGGCTCCCTGCGGGCTGCAGGGGGGACCCTGCGTCTGCCCCTTAGCCCCGCCCCTCCCATCCGGCCAGCCCTGCCCCGCCCTGACGCCCCCCTCCCCCCACCAGCCAGCATCACCATCTTCCGACCATCGAGCTTCTTCCTCGTGGCGCAGGCGGGCGCCGGCCTGCAGCTGCAGGTGCAGCTGGTCCCGCTCATGCAGGTGTTCGTCCGGCTGGACCCCGCATACCGCGGCCAGACATGCGGTGAGGCGCCCAGTGGGGGCTCCGGTGGGGGTGGGCAGAGGCCAGCAGCAGAGGGGACGGGGGAGGGTGCCAGCGCCAGGACCAGTGGCCGGGAAGTGCGGGCAGGACAGAGTGGGCTGCCGCCTGGCTACCTACAGTCCACTCTGGAAGCAAGCCCCCGGGGAGATGCACACTGGGCGGGGCCCACTGACGCCCCGCCCCCCGCGCCCTGCCCCGCCCCCAGGCCTCTGCGGGAACTTCAACCAGAACCAGGCGGACGACTTCACAGCCCTCAGCGGGGTGGTGGAGGGGACGGGCGCGGCCTTCGCCAACACCTGGAAGACCCAGGCCGCCTGCCCCAACGTCAGGAACAGCTTCGAGGACCCCTGCTCCCTGAGCGTGGAGAACGGTAACCCCCTAGCCCGGCGCCACCCCAGGCTCAAGTCCCACCTGGCCTGCCCATCCTGTCCCCTGGGCCGTGGGGACCCCTAGGGGGGGCTTGGGGAGCCCTATGGAGGCAGGAAGGGGTGAGGAGGCAGGGGTGCGGGCAGACGGGCACGGCGGGGTGGGGCCCAGGTTCCAATTCACTATTCCCCTGGGCTGAGGGGCGCGGGGGGAGCCGCATGGTCACGCGCTGCCCCTGCCCCCCAGAGAACTATGCGCGCCACTGGTGCTCGCGGCTGACCGACCCCGCTGGCGCCCTCTCCCCCTGCCACTCCGTCGTCAACCCCGAGCCCTTCCACTCGGTGAGTGCCCACGATGGCTGTGGCCCCAGGCTCGGGTTGGGAGACGCCGGGGACAGAGCTGGGGAGGAGCCCTGGCAGGGCCCCTTTCTGAAGGCCACCTGTCCCCACGGCAAAGTGGAATAAGCTGTTGGCTGGAAGCCAGAGGCGAGATCCTCTTGAGCCTGGAGGCGCAAGGTGTGGGCAGGGCTGGCACCCAAGGGCCCTGGCAGGTCCACCTTGCCCCTCCCGGCTGCACCCACACCCTTTTTCCAGACACTAGGCGCCAGGTCAGGGCCCACCCTCAGGGCCACGTCCTAACTTGGCTACATCCACGAGGACCCTCTTTCCAAACAGGCCCCAAACGGGCTGCTAAGGCCCGCCCCCTCAGCATAGGTTTTGGGGGATGAAATTCGGCCCACTGCAGGGGGCTCACCGGCCACTTTCCTGGAGCCCAAAGCTCTGCGGTGTACACGGCTCCCGCCCCAGGAACGTGTCTCCAGGGATAGACCCAGGCCCACCCCCGCATCCCTGGCCGGGCCCCTCCCCACCCCGCGTCTCCGACGTGCAGCCTCGTCCTGTGCAGCCTCGCTGGGCTCACGCCTCAGCGCTAGCCCCAGCCTCTCACCCACTCGGTGCCGCGCCCTGCTCCGGGCTCTGGCGCGGTTGCCCGCTGTGGCCACAGCAGCCTCTGGTGGCCCTGACCCTACTCAAAGCTCTGGGAGGCGCCACCAGACCCCCCACCCCGATGCTGCCCTTCTCCTGCCTCTGGGGCTCCTCCTCAGGGGGTTCCCGGCCCTGACGCCCGCGCCCCGCCCCCAGAACTGCATGTTCGACACGTGCAACTGTGAGAGGAGCGAGGACTGCCTGTGCGCCGCCCTGTCCTCCTACGTGCGCGCCTGCGCCGCCAAGGGCGTGCTGCTCCGCGGCTGGAGGGACGGCGTCTGCGGTGAGTGCGCAGCGGTGCCGCCCCTACGCCACCATCCAGCCCCGGGGGGGGGGGGGCCGGTTCGGGGTCCTGGGGCCCGGGCACAACCGACGTCACGTGGTTCCCAGCCAAGCGCCTGTTGAGAACCTTGCACCCTCACGATCGCACACCAGGACGGGGACACCCAGTCTAGGACACGTGAGCCTGGGCCGCTCCAGTCCCTGCCGCTGACCGCAATGTCCCCGCCCCCGCCGCCCACAGCCAAGTACATGAGCAGCTGCCCCAAGTCCCAGAGCTACGCCTACGTGGTGGACACCTGCCCGCCCACCTGCCGGGCCCTGAGCGAGGTTGACGTCACCTGCAGCGTCTCCTTCGTGCCTGTGGACGGCTGCACCTGCGCCGAGGGCACCTTCCTGGATGACGCGGGTGCGTGCGTGCCTGCGCGCGAGTGCCCCTGCTACCTCCGCGGCACTGCGGTGGCCCCCGGAGAGGTGGTGCACGACAACGGCGCCGTGTGGTGAGCGGGGAAGAGAGGCGGGGAAAGGAGGCGGGGAGGCTGCTCGGAGGCTCCTGGCCGAGAGCTAGGGGCGCGCGTGTCCGTCAGGGGCGCCCCGCTCCCGCCCCTGGAAGCGGCCCCTCGCAGCGGAGGGCCAGGTCCCAACCCCCGAGGTTCCGGCGGCCTCTCGCCCACCCGTGGGCATTCACCCGGCACCTCCACGGGCTGACGCAGGCACGAGGCGCGCGGAGCCGGCGGGCTTTGGTGCGGCCGCGGGTCCAGGCTGGCTGTCCGTCTCTCGTAGCTCGTGTGCGAATGGGAAGCTGAGCTGCCTTGGCGCCGCACTGCCGAGAAGCGCAGGTAGCACCGCCCGCGCCCGCCCTGCCGCGAGGCTCCAGGGGGGGAGGGGCCGCAGGCGTCTGCCTGGCGGAGTGGCCGGGTGCAGGGGGACGGGGGAGTCCTGGGCAGCGCTGCCAGGGAGGCGTCCGCAGCAGCATGGGCGCCGTGATCAGGACGCGGTCAGGGATGCGTGGGGTCGGCAGCCACGGGGGCAGGGGCTGCCCTTCCGCGGGAACCTCACGCCGAGCTCTGCCCCAGGCTGCGTGGCGCCCATGGTGTACCTGGACTGCCGCAACACCTCCGCGGGCGCCCCGGGGGCCGAGTGCCTCCGCAGCTGCCACTCGCTGGACGTGGACTGCGTGAGTCTCCTGGGCACAGCGGATGCCTCCCGCCCTCCGAGCTGCAGGGAGTGGGGGCTGCGAAGGGAGCTGGGGTCTGGGCGGCCCTGGTGTGGGCGGGTGGTGGGCGGCTGTGGCTTGCTGACCCCAGACTCTGCCCCTCCCACGGTGCCGCCCGGGGAGCCTCTGCGCGTGCGCATCCGAGGACTGGCCTGGGGACGGTGCGCACGCGTCTCGTCGGAGTGTCTGGCCCTGACCTGCGCCACCTGCCCCGCAGTTCAGCACACACTGCGTGTCCGGCTGCGTCTGCCCCCCAGGGCTGGTGTCAGACGGGGCCGGGGGCTGCGTCGCTGAGGAGGACTGCCCCTGCGTGCACAACGAGGCCTCCTACCGGCCGGGGGACACCATCAGGGTCGACTGCAACACCTGGTGAGTCCCAGGTCCCACCGTGGCAGGCGGGGCAGACCTGGTCAGCGCCAGAGCTGACGAGAGCACAGCGGGGGGGCCCCTGGGGGGGAGCAGGAGTCCATTCTCTGGAAGGCACCCAGGGGCCCTCTCGAGGAGGAAGGGGGGGCAGTCCTTTCCCTGGCACTGCCGTAGACGTGGGCCCGAGGCAAGGCTGTGTGGTGTGCAGGGTGGGACCGCTGGGCTGGGGGGATGGGCTCTAGGAGGGCAGCCCCCTGAGCAGGCCCCGCCCCTGCCCTGAGCAGCACCTGCAGGAACCGCAGGTGGGAGTGCAGCCACCAGCCCTGCCTGGGCACCTGTGTGGCCTATGGGGACGGCCACTTCATCACCTTTGACGGCGAGCGCTACAGCTTCGGAGGCAGCTGCGAGTACACCCTGGCCCAGGTACGTGGCCTGCAGGGCTCCCGCCTGTTCCGCAGGCCGGACATGCTGGGCCGTGACCAAGGCCTCATCTCTTCCTGTCCCAGGACTACTGTGGGGGCAATGCCACCAACGGGACCTTCCGCATTGTCACCGAGAACGTCCCCTGTGGGACCACTGGCGTCACCTGCTCCAAGGCCATCAAGCTCTTCGTGGAGGTGAGGGCACCTGCCAGGAGGGTCTGCATGGTGGCCTTCAGCTGCCGCCACACACGGCCACAGACCTTGTGGCTCCAGACAGCGGACACGGAGTCCCCCAGCCCCGAGCCCGAGCCTGGAGGCGGAGCGGGCAGGCCCGTGCTCCCTGCAGAGCTCCGGGAGGACCCCCACCTCTCCCAGCTCTGGGGGCTGCAGGTGCCCCCCCGGCTTGTGGCCGCATCACCCCAACCTCGGCCTCTGCCCCACGTGGCTTCTCCCTGTGGGTCTGTGTCTCTCCGGTCACTCATGGAGACCCTGTCATGGGTTTGGGGCCCGCCCGGGTGGTCAGGGATGATCTCGTTTCCAGATCCTTCACTTAACCACATCTGCAGAGACCCAATTAGGGCACCGTCACAGGTTCTGGGGTTAGAAGGTGGACAGACCTTTCTGGGGGCCCCTTCACCCCACCACACCTGGGGACACTCACTGCCCGCAGAAGGAGGTTGGAGTTCACAGGGCAGAGAGCAGAGCTATTGGCTGGGGGTCTTTCCCCTAGGAGGGCGGGAGGGGCGGCGAGTGTGGGGGTGCATGGGGTGCAGTGCCCAGTGTAGGGGCAGAGGTGGGGCCCCCACTCCCAGCACTTCCTGCCCTGGGCAGGGCGCCCTGGGCCTCAGGCCCCTCCCATGTGTCCCCCCAGAGCTACGAGCTGATCCTCCGAGAGGGCAGCTTCACGGTGGTAGAGCGAGGGCCGGGCGGGGACCCGCCCTACAAGACCCGCTACATGGGCAACTTCCTGGTCATCGAGACCCGCGGCGGGATGGCCGTGTCCTGGGACCGGAAGACCAGCGTGTTCGTCCGGCTGCGCCAGGATTACAAGGTGAGCGCCGGCCGGGCCCTCCCAGGTCTGGCCCCGCCGGCACCGAGCGTGGCGGCCGGCAAGGCGGCCGGGAGCTGTCTCCACTTGCAAAGCCTAGGCTGGGGTGAGGCCACGCCGGGGTCAGGTCCCATGGGGTGTGCTGAGGCCAGAGCAGCCACCAGGTGCACCCTAGTCCCCGCTGTCTGGACTCCAAGGTGGGCAGAGTGGGCTCTTCGGGGAGCAGGTGTCACCCGCGTGCCTGCCTCCAGGACCCGCGTCACCCCTGTCCCATGAGGGCCCTGCACGCCCCGGGCTGGGGTCTGTGCCGCCCCCACGGAGCCCGCGCCCCAGCTGCCAGGGCTCCCTGTGTCTCTGCGCCCGCAGGGCAGGGTCTGCGGGCTGTGCGGGAACTTTGACGACAACGCCGTCAACGACTTCACCACGCGGAGCCAGTCCCTGGCGGGGAACGCCCTGGAGTTCGGGAACAGCTGGAAGTTCTCCCCGAGCTGCCCGGACGCCCTGGCGCCCAAGGACCCCTGCGCCGCCAACCCGTACCGCAAGTCCTGGGCGCAGAAGCAGTGCAGCATCATCAACGGCCCCACCTTCGCCGCCTGCCGCTCTCAGGTGGGGCTTGACGGGCAGGGAGGGCGGGAGCCGCATCCAGCCGGTGGGCGCACGGCAGGTCCCTGGGGACGGTCTCGACTCCGGGCACACGGCACCAGGCCGGGGTTTTCAGGTCTCGGGTCTGGGCCTGCCACCGGCCTGGCACCTGTGTTCCTTGTCCCCGGCACAGAGCTGTCCCCAGGGCAGCCCTGGCCACCCTCTCCCAGGACACCTGGATCCGCCCAGGGTCCCCGGCAGGAGCAGGAGTGTCGCAGTCCGGCTGGGGAGGGCTCAGCAATTGGCCTCAGTAGAGACTCTTCCAAAAAGCAGTTTCCTGTTATAACAAATGCTCGAGCGCCCACTTGGGGTCGCAGCTTTGTAACTCGGGGCCTCAACAGCTAGGAGAAGAGGGCGGGTCACGTGTGCACACACAGCGGCTGGCACGCCTGGGCTTGTGCTGAGAGCCCCTGAATCCCTCTCATTGCCAGTCATGCTGCTCCCTTGCGTGGGCAGCCAACGTCCCTCTGGCTGCCCTGCTCCCGAGCTCAAACGGTCCTCTGTGGCCTGCCACGGCTGACCACAGATCCACGGTGCGCTGTGGTGGCAAAAATGAGAACCTGGGGCTGGGCACAGTGGCTCACGCCTGTGATCCCAGCACTGTGGGAGGCCAAGGCAGGAGGATCACTTGAGGTCAGGAGTTGAGACTTCAGGGAGCTGTGATCCCACGGCTGCACTCCAGCCTGGATGGCAGGGCGAGAGCTTGTCTCAGAAAGGAAGGAAGGAAGAGTGAGACCTTGGTCCACTCCAGGGTCTGCTGCCCGGGAGGACTGAGTTTGGGGCTCACCCTCTTTGCCTATGGAAACAGCCCCTAGTTATCAGGACAGGGGCAACAACACGGTCCACGTACAAAGTCACCTGTGCCTTCCTCTGGGCATGTTCCCTGTGTGCCTGGAAGTCCGGCATGTTCTGAGTGCTATGCTCAGCCCAGTGACTGAGGGTACCTGCTCCCCCAGAGCGTACCCTCAGGAGGGAGGCAGCAGGGTGGGGACATGCAGGACAGGTGTGGGAGGCCCTGAGTGGGGAGTCACCATGGGGTCATGGGGAGTAGCAGTTGCAGAGACGGCTCAGCAACAGGCAAGGCCCAGTGGGCAGGAAGCCAGCACGGCTAGAGTAGAATGACCAGGGCCAAGGGTAGGGGTGACAGGACGGGGAGGCCAGGTGTGATGCCCCACGTGGGTGTGAAATCTGCAGCACACATGACCAGATTCACGTGATAAAAGAATTCAAGTGAAGGTGCAGAGGTGGGCACATAGGTAGGTGGGCAGATGGGAAAATGGGAAGGTGGGGAGAGCACAAGTGACCAGGAGAGGTGGTGCTGGGGCACAGGTGGGCTGGGGTACAGGTGGGGTGGGACACAGGTGAGCTGGGGCACAGGTAAGCTGAGGTACAGATAGGCAGGGGCACAGGTGGGCAGGGGCACAGGTGGGCTGGGGTACAGCTGGGCAGGGGTACAGATGGGCTGGGGCACAGGTGGGCTGGAGCACAGGTGGGCAGGGGTACAGGTGAGCAGGGGCACAGATGGGCTGGGGCACAGGTGGGCAGGGGTACAGGTGGGCTGGGGCACAGGTGGGCAGGGGTACAGGTGAGGAGGGGCACAGATGGGCTGGGGCACAGGTGGGCTGGAGCACAGGTGAGCAGGGGTACAGGTGAGCAGGGTCACAGGTGGGCTGGGGCACAGGTAAGCTGGGGCACATATGGGCAGGGGTATAGGTGGGCTGGGGCACAGGTGGGCTGGGGCACAGGTGGGTAGGAGAGGTGGTGCTGGGGCAGCTCCCTTTGGGACACGCTGGAGGCACTCACAGCCCCAGAAGTCAGGGCCGTCCGCTCCCTGGGGTGGGGATTTGAAATACAAGTGGCCCCAGGGACTCACGCAAGCCAGCTGACGCTGGTGGGGGGCACGACGTATCCTCTCTGAGCCGCACTTCGGCCCTGCCCCCAGGTCGACTCCACCAAGTACTACGAGGCCTGCGTGAGCGACGCGTGCGCCTGCGACTCGGGGGGCGACTGCGAGTGCTTCTGCACGGCCGTGGCCGCCTACGCCCAGGCCTGCCGGGACGCCGGGCTCTGCGTGTCATGGAGGACCCCGGACGTCTGCCGTGAGTGGGGCTCTGTCCGTGGTGCTGAAGGGGGCGGGGCAGGCAGAGCAGCCTCTCCCAGGGCCCGCCCCACACACGTGCACACGCAGACACCAAACACATGTGGGTTTGCACGCACGTATGCACGTTCACATGCACAAATCTGCATTTGTGCGGAAACCCCAGACAGGGTGCTCCCCCGGGAGGGCTCCTCAGGGACAGCAGTTCCAAGGGCAGGGCACCGGCCGGCCCCACAGGCCCTGACATCTGGGACCAGCCTGGCACTGCCCTGGGCACTCGCCCCGGTATGGCGGGGCTGCCCGTGCACACCCCGGGGAGGGCCAGCAGGCACCCCCTGAAGCTCTGCCCCTCTGCCCAGCGCTGTTCTGCGACTACTACAACCCACACGGGGAGTGTGAGTGGCACTACCAGCCCTGCGGGGCCCCCTGCCTGCGCACCTGCCGGAACCCCAGCGGGCGCTGCCTGGTGGACCTGCCCAGCCTGGAAGGTGAGGGCTGGGCTTCCTTGGGGGGGGAGGCTCCCTGGGCCCCTGCGGTGTGCATGGCGGCGGGGGGCCAGGACCGGCACACAGTGAGCCCCGAGGGCAGGACCCCGCCCACTGGCAGCACCAGGCTGGCCGAGCCTACACCGTTCGCCTTCTCCCGCCGCGCCCAGGCTGCTACCCAGAGTGCCCGCCCAGCAAGCCCTTCTTCAGCGAGGACCAGATGAGGTGTGTGGCCCAGTGTGGCTGCTACGACGAGGACGGGAGATACTACGACATCGGCTGGAGGGTCCCCGTGTCAGAGAACTGCCAGAGCTGGTGCGTGGGGTGGGGGCGTGGGGGGTGCCGGGGAGGGGCGGGGGTGGCTGCCCACCAGGCGCTCAGCTCCGCTCTCCCCTCCTCCCAGCAACTGCACCGCCGCCGGCGTCCAGTGCGCTCACAGCCTTGCGGGTAAGCCGGGGCGGGCGGGCTGGGCGGGCCCGGCGGGGCTGGGGGCTGGGGAGCTCCGTGACCGACGCCTGCTGCGCCCCAGCCTGCACGTGCACCTACGAGGGCAGGACCTACGGCTACCACGACGTCATCTACAACACGACGGACGGGCTCGGCGGCTGCCTGAGCGCCATCTGTGGAGACAACGGCACGATCGTCCGGAGGGCCGTGGAGTGTCCCGGAACCCCGTCCTCAGCGCCGTTCACCTTCACCACCGTCCCCACGCCCCTCCCCACCACGGGTAAGCCCCGCCTGGCTTTCCCGAGGCCAAGCCACACCTGGGTGACCAGGAGAGACCCGCAGGGCACCCGGTGCGGGACGGCCAGATGCCAGGGACGCCCCGGGCCCAGACCCGCCCGCCTCCCCGGCTCGGGCTGGCGGTCCACAACCCCCACACCCCGTCCACAACCCCCACACCCCGCCCACAACCCCCACACCCCGTCCACAACCCCCACACCCTGCCAGCGTGTCTCCAGGAGCTCCCTGGGAGGCGCGGTGACTGACAGGGCTGCCCTGCCCCCGCCCCCCCCCACAATGACACCTCCCTGGACCCAGTCCCATCCCTCAGCACAGCCCACCCCAGCCACCCCCTCGAAATCGGAGACGCTGCGGCCCGGGGAAAGGGTCCTTGGGCGCCGCCTCCCTGCAGAGCGAGGAGCAATGGCGGCTGAGCGGGGTCCCCTCTCCGCCCTCCAGGCCCGGTGCCCAGCCTCTCCACCGTGTGTGTCCGCGAGGTCTGCCGCTGGTCCGCCTGGTACGACAGCGGCCGTCCTGAGCCGGGCGAGGAGGGCGGAGACTTTGAAACGCTGGAGCGCCTGTGGCGGAAGGGGTACCAGGTGTGCAGCGCGCCGGCCGACATCGAGTGCCGGGCGGAGGGGCTGCCCCACACGCCCCTGCGGGAGCTGGGCCAGAAGGTGGTCTGCGACCGCACGCGGGGCCTGACGTGTGCCAACCGCGAGCAGAGCCCCCCGCTCTGCCTCAACTACGAGCTGCGGGTTCTGTGCTGCGACTACGTGCCCTGCGGCCCCTCCCCGGCCCCCGGCACCAGCCCTCGGCCGTCCCTCGGCACCACCACGGAGCCCCCCTCCACCCAGACCAGGGCAACCGAGGGGACCACCCCACAAACGGTGCCCGGCTCCCCGTCGACGGCGGCCCTCACCTCCCAGACCAGGCCCAGCCCGCCCACCGTGACGGTCACCCCCTCGGCCGGCTCCCCGGGCCCAAGTGCCACCACCTGTCAGCCCCGGTGTCAGTGGACGCAGTGGTTTGATGAGGACTACCCCAAGTCTGAGAGGGCTGGCGGGGACATCGAATCCTACGATAAGATCAGGGGCGCCGGACGGGACATCTGCGAGCGGCCGCAGGACATACAGTGCCAGGCCGAGAACTTCCCCAACTGGACCCTGGAGCAGGTGGGCCAGAAGGTGCACTGCAACGTGCGCTTCGGCCTGGTGTGCTGGAACCACGAGCAGGACGGCATATTCAAGATGTGCTACAACTACAAAATCCGAGTGCTGTGCTGCAGCTCCGAGCACTGCAGGGGACACACCTCCGCCCTGCCACCGGCCACGACACCAGGGACGGCCACCACAGTCTCCCGGGCCTGGTCCTCAAAGCCGCAGCCCAGGAGTAGCCCAGGGGTGACCTGGACCCCCCCAGCCAGCACCACGGCCGTGACCGTCCTCTCGAAAGGACCGACATCCCCCATCTACACGGCTCCTCCAGGCTCCACGCGACCCACCAGCCCAGGGGGGGCCACGTCCATCCTTCCAAGTCGCCCAACCCAGGCGGGGAGCACAGGGGCCACAGGCCGACGGGGCCCCTCGCAGTCACCCACACCAGCCCCAACCACACAGACCTCGACGGCTCACCTGACGGGCACGGCCAGCACCAAAGAGCCCGTGACCACTGGCCTGGGGCTGACCACACGTCCCAGCCAGCCGCCCACCTCCTACACTGAGACCAGCACCCTGAGGCCAGAGACACCACCCAGCACCTCAGCCGGGACCGCCACCAGCCAGGGCACGACCGGCTGCCAACCCAGGTGTGAGTGGACAGAATGGTTTGACGTGGACTACCCAATCTCAGGGGTTGCAGGCGGGGACATAGAGACCTTAGAAAACATCAGGGCTGCAGGGGGCAAGCTGTGCGAGGCACCGGTAAAGATAGAGTGCCGGGCGGAGAACTACCCCGAGGTGAGCATCGACCAGATCGGGCAGGTGCTGATCTGCAGCCTGGAGACGGGATTGATCTGCAGGAACAAGGACCAGGTGGGCAGGTTCAACATGTGCTTCAACTACAATTTGCGTGTGCTCTGCTGTGACGACTACCGTCACTGTCCCAGCACAGCAGTCCCCACAGGCCCCTCCACCCCAGCCACCACCTCCATGGCCACCACCATTCCAGCCACCTCCTCCATGGGCACCACCATTCCAGCCACCACCTCCACGGGCACCACCTCCACGGCCACCACCTCCACGGGCACCACTGCCAAAGGAACCACCTCCCTTTCTGCCACCATCTCCCTGGGCACCACCTCCCCATCCACCACTTCACTGGCTACCAGGTCATCTTCGGTGACAAGACCCTCAACCACAGCTACCACCTCCCCTCCAATCACCCAAAGAGTCATCTCCACCACCCAGAGGAACCTGAACTTCTCTGTCCCCGGCCCCTCAACCCTGCCGGCCTCCACCACCAGCCCCTTCCACACCACAGGGAAGCCCACCTCTGGGACCCTGACTACGTCCACCAGGCCACCCTTGACCAGCACCCCACACACGGCCCCCCTGCTGACCTCCAGCTCCGGGCGCACCACTGGCACCACCCTCCCCTCCAGCCGTCCCACTCCCAGCAAGGGCTGTGCGCCTCGGTGCGCCTGGACAGACTGGTTCGATGAGGACTACCCCATCCCTGGCCCCGATGGCGGGGACTTTGAGACCTATGCGGTCATCCGCGCAGCTGGCCACACCTTCTGTGAGCACCCCCAGGACATCCAGTGCCGCTCCGAGAAGAAGCCGGACAAGCCCTTGGAGGCGGTGGGGCAGGTGGTGTACTGCGACGTGCGTTTTGGGCTGGTGTGCAGGAACCGCGACCAGCTCGGGCCCGTGAAATACTGTGACAACTTCCACATGCGCCTGCTGTGCTGTGATGACTACAGCCACTGCGCCAGCACACCCACGGCTACCGGCTCCACGGCAACCCCCTCCTCTGCCACCACCTCCCTGGCTACCAGCTCTTCCACCAGCACCTCCTCAGGCATCACCTCCACGGCGACCACATCCTCTGCCACCTCCACAGCCACCTCCTCACCAGCCACCACCTCCTCAGCCACCAGCTCTTCCGCCAGCACCTCCTCAGGCATCACCTCCACGGCGACCACATCCTCTGCCACCTCCACAGCCACCTCCTCACCAGCCACTACCTCCTCAGCCACCAGCTCTTCCGCCAGCACCTCCTCAGGCATCACCTCCACGGCGACCACATCCTCTGCCACCTCCACAGCCACCACCTCCCCGGCTACCAGCTCTTCCGCCAGCACCTCCTCAGGCATCACCTCCACGGCGACCACATCCTCTGCCACCTCCACAGCCACCTCCTCACCAGCTACCAGCTCTTCCACCAGCACCTCCTCAGGCATCACCTCCACGATGACCACATCCTCTGCCACCTCCTCACCAGCCACCACCTCACCAGCCACCAGCTCTTCCGCCAGCACCTCCTCAGGCATCACCTCCATGGCGACCACATCCTCTGCCACCTCCACAGCCACCACCTCCCCAGCCACCACCTCGACAGGCACAACCTCCACAGGATCTATCTCCCCGGCCACCACTTCCATGGGCACAACCTCCACAGGTTCCATCTCCATAGCCACCATTTCCATGGGCACAACGTCCACGGCCACCACCTCCCTGGGTACCACCTCCCCGTCCACCACCTCATTGGCTACCACGTCATCTTTGGTGACAGGACCCTCCACTACAGCCACCACCTTCCCTTGGATCACCAAAACAGTCAACGTCTCCACCACCAAGAGGGGCTTTACCTTCTCCGTCCCCAGTCCCTCTGCCCCGTTGGTCTCCACCACCAGCCCCTTCCACACCACGGGGCAGCTGACCTCTGGGACCCTGACTACGTCCACCAGGCCACCCTTGACCAGCACCCCACACACGGCTCCCCTGCTGACCTCCAGCTCCGGGCACACCGTTGGGACCACCCTCCCCTCCAGCCGTCCCACTCCCAGCAAGGGCTGTGTGCCTCAGTGCGCCTGGACAGAGTGGTACGATGTAGACTCCCCCATCCCTGGCCCCGATGGCGGGGACTTTGAGACCTATGCGGTCATCCGAGCAGCTGGCCACACCTTCTGTGAGCACCCCCAGGACATCGAGTGCCGCTCCGAGAAAGAGCCGGACAAGCCCTTGGAGGCGGTGGGGCAGGTGGTGTACTGCGACGTGCGTTTCGGGCTGGTGTGCAGGAACCGCGACCAGGTGGGACAGTTCAAGCTGTGCCTCAACTACCTCATCCGTGTGTTCTGCTGCAACTATAGCCACTGCCTGAGCACCCCGTCCACCACCACAGCGTCTTCCCTAGGGACGAGTCCCACTTGGGCCACCACACTGTCCCCCAGCACCACGGCCCTATCCCTGCCCACCCCTAACCCCAGGGACCGCAGCACAACCTCCACTGCCGTGCCCACCAGCTGCCAGCCTGCCTGCCACTGGACTGACTGGCTGGACAGTGACCAGCCCCAGCCTGGCCGCTTTGGGGGCGACATTGAGACCTACTACCACATCATGGATGCGGGCGGGCAGCTGTGCCTGGAGCCCACAGCCATCGAATGCGAGGCTGTGCTCTTCCCAGGTGTGTCCCTGGGGCTGCTGGGACAGGTGGTGCGGTGCGATGTGCGCTACGGTCTCATCTGCAGGAACCACAGGCAGAAGTCAGGCCAGACCTGCCTCAACTACCACATCCGAGTGCGCTGCTGTGACTACAGCCACTGTGCCAGCACCACCAGCGCCCTGCCCAGCTCCACACCCGTGCCCACACCCCACAGCACACTGTCCACGCCCAGCACCTTGTGGTCATCAGTGGGGCCTAGGCCCTCGACAACAGCTACAACCTCCTTAGCCACCACCTCCTCAGTCACCACCTCCTCAGGCACCAGCTCCTCAGCCACCACCTCCCGAGCCACCAGCTCCTTCACCAGCACCTCCTCAGGCATCACCTCCATGGCCACCACATCCTCTGCCACCACCTCCCCAGCCAACACCTCCTCAGGCACCATCTCCACAGGAACCACCTCCCCGGTTACCACCTCTTCAGGAACTACCTCCACAGGAACCACCTCCCCAGTTACCACCTCCTCAGGAACTACCTCCACAGGAACCACCTCC